ATTGTAACATAAATATTTCCACTCTGGGAAAGTCATAGAATATTAGAACTGGAAGAGATGTTCAAATGCATGCAATTCAATAACCTTCATTTTATATTTGAGGAAACTAAAGTCCAATTGCCTTAACCAAGGTCACACAAGTCAACACAGCAGAGATTAGAATACAGGCTTTCTAATTCCTAGTTTTGTTGTGTTGTTCCTGGATAATGTTCTACTGCAAAGCCTCCAGTACAAAGCTTCTCAGATGCTAAACTAGAGACTTCTGACTAATACGGCAGCTAGAACAAAAAAAGCAGAATGCCCAGTTGCCACATATTTACTCATAGACAGCCCTTTAGTTTGCAACAGACCTAAAAAGGTCAAGAAATTCAATCAGAAATTACTGACTTCTACCCTTTAACCCAGCAAAACCACTTCTAGGGCTGTATCCCAAAGACATCATAAAAATATGAAAAGGATCCACATGTACAAAAATATTTATAGCAGCTATTTTTGTGGTGGCAAAGAATTGGAAACTGAGGGGATGCCCATCAATTGGGGAATGGCTGAACAAGTTGTGGTATACAAATGTAATGAAATACTATTGTGCTACAAGAAAGGATGAGCAGGTGGACTTCAGAAAAACCTGGAAAGACTTATATGAACTGATGCTGAGTGAAGTGAGCAGAACCAGGAGAACACTGTACACAGTAACAGCCACATTGTCCAATGACTGACTTTGACAGACTTAGCCCTTCTCAGCAATGCAAGGTAAGACAGCTCCAAAAGACTCCTGATGGAAAATGATATCCACATCCAGAGATCGAACTATGGAGTCTGAATGCAGATGGAAGCATACTATTTGCTCTCCTTTTCTTTCGTTGTTTTGTTTTGTTGCTTCATTCTTGTGGTTCCTCCAATTAGTTCTAATTCTTCTTTATATCATAACTAATGGGAAAATATGCTTAATATGAATGTCTAAGTAGAGCCGATATGAAATTGCACACCGTCTTGGGGAGCGAAGAAGAGAGGGAAGGGGAGAAATTTTAAAACTCAAAATCTTATGAAAGTGAATGTTGAAAACTAAAAATTAATTATTTATTTTTTAAAAATTACGGACTTCAGTCACCCCAGAACTACACAAGAAATTATCTAGAAGCCTGAAGGCAAAAAAGGAAAGGGAGTTGCTAGCAAAGTCAGTGAAATTACACGAAAATCTCAAAGTAGGCCCAGAGGTTGCCTAGAGACACACAGCCTGCAAAGCTATGTATCTGAAGGAAGCAAGAACCAGACTACCCAAAAAAAGCCCAAAGGTGGTCAGTAAGCCCCACGTGGGGTCTTTGGAAGTACCAGAGAGGAGCAAGTAGGGCAAGCAACCAATGCAGTGTCAATATATCAGAGGAGACCAGCCCGGGCAAGTGATTCTAAAGTCCTGACATACATCCTGAGATGTCACAGAGAGACAGAAGATCCAGTACTGTGATCCTCAGTTCTGGATGGAGGTAGAGAGGGATGAACACAGGAACCCTAGCGATCCCAGGCAAGACCAAGCAAGACTGACCACCCTTCCCAAAAGCACACCCAAAGCACCAATTCAGGAGGCTGGGAAGGTGAATAAATCTGAGAAAATACCATTAGTATAAAAAAAATATTGCAAATCCAAGGATCCCAAAAAAAGGAAAGAATAACTCTCTGTAACAACTTCAAGCAGAGATTCTAAGGAAAAAATAGACTTTCCAAAAGGCCTGCATGAATACCTAGAAGAAAGGAAGGAAGAGATTTTAAAAATAAAAGATCTAGAAAAAAGAATTGAAAGGAAAATTAATAGTTTATTAAGATAAAGTGGTAAACCTTATCCTAGAAGTAGACTTTCTGGAAACTAGCATAAATCAAACAAAAATTAATGACTCCATAAAAGAGTAAGAAATACTCTAAGAAAACTATGATAAAAAAACAAAGCCTGTGCTCTGTATTTCAAAAAATGAAAAATGAAAATTGCTCATACCTATCAGAACCTAAAGATGAAGTACAGATAGAAAGAATCTATCAATTGTCTCCTGAAAGAAGTTCCAAAAGGAAAAGCCCTAGGAATATCATGGTCAAAATCCAAAGCTCGTCAAAGAAAAAAATACTGGTTGGTGTAGCTGTAAATCAGTACAAGCATCTAGAAAGCAATGCTAATAACTTTTGACCCAGAAAAGTGTCACCAAATACATCAAAATATTTATAAAAGCTTTTTTTTTGTGATAGCAAAGAACTGGAAACAAAACAGATATCCAGTAAGTGGGTAATGATTACACAAAACGTGGTGCATGATTGAAATAGAAAGGTGGTTGTCCTTTGTGCTCAAAGAGGACCAAAATGACATCACTATGTCCAGGTCAAGGTACAGTCTGTCCAATTGTGGCTGATCAGGCCAATAAAAGCTCACAAGGCTCTACTGCAGGCTGGGGACAAGTAATCCATTTGGAATGGAAATGTCTTTAAATTTGCTCACCTCACTTTTCTATGAAATAAAATATTTCTGTGCTGTAAGGAATGATAAATATTTATGAATACAGTGAAGCATGTAAAGATTTACATGAAATGATGAAAAGTGAAGTAAACAGAGTGAAAAAAGAAATATATAAAATATACAATTCAAAAAAGTAAGTGAAAAGAACAACCACAAAATAATCAAAAGAAAATGTTACAAAATTACAAAGAACAAGCAGGGTTCTACAGAAAAGATGCAAGATATCCTCCTCTCCCCCATCCCTTTGCAGAGGTAAGAGGTCCATTGGTTGTGGTACATTGAAAATATTTTCAGACATTTTTGTGCATTGTTCAGTTTTGCTGATTTTTTTCTTTTTTTTTCTTTTTCTTTAAAACAGTATTTGTGATATGGAATGGGCTTTCCAGGGGTGGGAGTGGGAAAAGAAACTGGGGAAAATTCAATGTTAAAAGAAACAACAACAAAAGACATGAATAAAATTTTGTTTTAAAAGGGAAGGAAGAAAAGAGAAAAAAAACCTAGAATCTGGGATAGTATCTTAGATTACCTCTTAAACAATTGGGAAATGGCTGAGCAAAAGTGATAACATGAATATAATGGTATATTCCTGGGCAAGTCTAAAGAGATGATATTACAGTATCATGAATAATATGGGGTGCAGTTAAAAAAACCCAACCATCAGGATTAGCTAAATACCTATTAAAATACTTAAAAAGAGTTTAAAAAACTATAAACTCAAAAGTTTTTCTAGTAGAATGTAAGTTTATTGAAGTAGGAAGCTGTGCCTTATTTATCTTTGCATCTTTCTCTAGCACTACTCCAGTAGTGTACTAAAAAAAAGATTAGTTATTGCAAAGGAAAGGAATTTTGTGTACCTCAGCAACTTTTAATTGCTAAGAACACAACTGTAGGGAAAAAAAGTACATTGTAATAGTGTTCAAGTGATGTTAGCCCAAGAGAAAAATTATAACTTTTAAAAATGTCTGTGAAAGGAATTTTTGTTTTAAAGCAAAAATAATTATCCAGTGATTGTCTCCTACACGTAGAACATAATTCAAAAATCACAACTGAGTCTATTAAAGACCTTCTCAATGAGATTTAATTAACATTTAAAGGGAACATCAAGGACTCATGTCTTACTTGGGTATATTTCAAAATATTTAGTTCAAATGTATTTCTTGACTACTGGTACTTTATAAAATGACACTGGGTGATCATTTTCACAATAAAACGATTTTTTATGACTCTCAAAAGTAAAGAAATTGATAACATGAATAAACAAACAAATGAATGTGCTCTTCATTCTCTCCCCACCTCCCCCCACTCCCACTGCTACTCTGTTTTTGTTTTTAGGACTATTTAACAGTATTTGAATTACCATTTATTAATGATATCTTCTCCAGCGTTCACTTTCTCAGAAATAGCCTCTCAAGGAGAGTTGCTGAGGCGTTAACCATGAAAATGTTTTGACATAAAAATGAGGCATTTCAGGGCATCATTCCAAGGTTACCTAAGAGACTTTTCAGTATATCTAACTGAAAGACCCTGAAAGAAACTTGATAAGCTCCGAATCTTTCATATCAAGGGAACATTATTTGATTTAGCAAACTACATATGAACTTTTTGGTCAGGATGCTCAAGTGATTACAAGGCAGGAGGAAAGTAATGGCAGGTAAGTAAGGCCAGGGATAACTCAGTTAAAGAACTGCTGCTTTAGAGTAATTGGCAGAGGGTGACACCTGAGCTCTAAATGCCCCCAGATCTGAATTCCACATTTATTTCATTTTCAACCTGAATGGCTAGTTTCTATTAATTATACAAAAAGAAGGTAAAAGTGAAAAATATAAACCAAGTTTAAGATTTATATAGTTCTTAGGTATCAGAAGATCTGCAGGTTATTCCAATTATCTCTCCTTCTTCCACCCCACCCTACCCCATCTCCACTGCCAATAAGCAGGGCTTCAAAATAAAGCTATGACTGATAATCAATACCAGGAAGCAAATTATACTTAACCCTTTTCCAAAAGTCTTCCCTCCCAATTAAAAAAAAAAGCTATCTCACAGTACTTGAGGAAAACATAATTTAACTGCATAGAATAACCAAATCCAGAGAGGGGCAACAGTTAATTTCCACATTAAGAACTTGGAGTATTAAGTTTAAAGATTTACAGGAAAATTTTAAAAAGATCTGTACACTGTACAGCACCTTTAGAAACCACGGCTGTACCACCACTTACCTATATGGGTGGTAACGTTTATATGTCTACTTGGAAACACTGCGAAATGACAACTACAATTAAAACAAACATGTGCACGCACGCTCACGTGCATTCTGAAATAAAGAAGTAGCAGAATTGTAAGCACACAAAGCACCAAAGTCCTGGCACACGTTCCTTGGGGAAGGGTTATCAGCTATGGTTGCACCAAGGACACCTGAGGAGTATGCATATTTAAGAGAAAAGGGAAAGCAGCGTACTTTCCTACCCCCTTCTCCATAACACCACCCCACTTTCTCCCGGGGTCTTACCTGGATCTGCAAGGGAACCAGGCGAACTTTGCAGCGTTCGCTCACTAGAAAGCCTTTGGGCAGGTCTACATACTGGCCCCACTCCTCGGCAAAGAGCTGCACCACAAATTTGCGGTGCATGTCTATCTGGTCGCCGTAAAGGCTCAGGAACTTCTGGATGAGCAGTTCGTGGCCCGCGCCGTGAGGCACAGTGGAGGGCCGGGCAAACACCGAGAAGCAGAAAAGCACTGGCACCGCACCCCCAGCAGGCAGTGACCCTGGGGCGCCGCCGCCGCTGCTGGTGTGCAAGTGTGCAAGGGAAGCAGGTTCCGTTGCCGACGCCATGTTCCTGGGCAGCTCCAGTGCACAGCTGAGCACGCTCTCTCTCGCTTCCTCTGTCTAAGGGAACAACACCGACGAACAGCTCCTCCTTTTCCTCTCGGTTTCTTGCCACCAGGAGAGGGCCCCAGTCCCCAGCAACCAGAGAGAGGAAAAGAAGAGGAGGAGTCCCTTTGCTGCTTCTCTCCTCCACCTCTCTCTCTGACCCTCCCTCCCCCCAACCCCACTTGCTCAGGGTCTGGGGTGAGTGGCCAAGAAAGAATGTCAGTGTGTGTCTGACTGCCCCACATCTTGCTGAAGAATCTCCCAAATACTGGAGCTGAATCCCCTCTTCCAGGCTTATAACGTATTTCTCCACTTCCACCTGTGCGGTAGGGCTCATCTTCACTGTTCTTTTCTTTTACTCAAAGGACACAGAAAGACTGCTTGGGACTATGGCTCTTGCCTTGAGCTATGTCTCCACCTCTATGTTCCTTCTCTTCCTTCTCAGACCTACTTTGTAAGAGATTTCCCCTTTTTCCAATGCAGAACTAGGTTCCCAGTAGCTTTTGAGAGATGGACCTGGGAGTGTGGGTGGCCCTTGTTGCGGCTACTGGGAAATGGCAATATTGAGTTCTCTACTGTAGCAGAATGCTTTCAACATGCATGCAGTGAGGGGCCAGCTAGGTGATGCAGTGGATAGAGCTCCAGCCTTGGAGTCAGGAGGACCTGAGTTCCAATCCGGCCTCAGACATTTGATACTTACTAGCTGTGTGACCCTGGGCAAGTCACTTAACCCCATTGCCTAGCCTCCCCCCCAAAAAAAAACATGCATGCAGTGGAAGGAACACTGGATTGAAAAAGAACCCGAGTTCAAATCCTTGCAATGCTATTTTGGCCCTCAGTTCTTTTGTCTATAAAAGTGGGGGAGGAGAAGAGGGGATACTAGGAAAGGAAGTTCCTAAAAATACTATGACAAACATATATATTTTAGAACAGTTATGAACATGACTTACTAGGTATCACAAAATTACCACTTTTCACTTTCTTACTCACACAGAGGATACTTTTTCTACATAATCAGAGCCCAGGTCCCAGTACTTTATTGTAGTGCACTGTTCAGTTGGGCAAGAGCATATGCTACATGTAGCACTACATGGTGATGATGATGATGGATGGATGATAGATAATTTATTAAACACTTAACTATATACCAGACACTGTGCTAAGTGTTAGGAGCACAAACACAAGTGAAAAACAACACAGTCCCTTGCCCTCAAGGAACTAATTCTAATGGGAGAAGAATCATTAAAAGGACTTGAACAGCTAAAAGTGGGAGGGTTGGAGGTAGTTCCATTGCTGGCTGTTGGGATAGCCATGGAAAAGGAGATGAAAGAGCCAGGTTCAAAGAGAAAATGGCTGGCATGGGTACTCCCTGCAGGTTGCTTTCCCCCCTCCCACTGGAATAGCATGCTGCTTACTGTTCCTTTCATGGGACTAGGGGAACTGAGGTGCTACATTTCTAGCACTTTAGCTCATTAATCTGATTCAATGTACTCTCCATTGACTGACTATCAGCTAGCTGTTAATCAGCCTCTTGGAAGGTAAATACTTTTTAAAAAGTGAAACTTTTTAAGGAGGTATAACAGGCACTGCTGATACAAAACCAATCCCTTGAAAAATGTGGGGCACGTGCTCTCACAATGCACATACATTTTATGGGGTGACTGGGAACAAATGATACAGTAATAGTGAGACACCTGTGGAGAGCACGTACTTACAAAAAATAAATTCACATATCCTAGTTACTGCATAACAAACTAGTGTTCTTATCTAGTCCAAAACCAGTCATGCGCCTTGAAACTACCATGTTTGCTTTCAGTGTATCTCCCCCTTCTAGCTGGATTATTGGTCCAGTCTTTCATGACATGGGGTGTGGGGGTAAGGGAGAGACATAGGAAGAGGGAAAGTAGCATAATACTCTGAACTCATCTGATATTCCTGCCTCTTTGTTGCCCTATTGTTTTTGTTGTTCAGCCCTCTCTGTCCCTTCGTGAAACCCATTTGGGGTTTTCTTGACAAAGATATTGGAGTGGTCTACCATCTCCTTCTCTAGTTCATTTTACAGTTGAGGAAACTGAGGCAGACGTTAAGTGACACACTGTTAGGTCACACAGCTAGTGGGTATCTGTTTGTCTTTTTTTTGTGTGTTGTTAAAAGAAATATTGGTTGAGGCCTGTCCCTGATCAATGAGACAAACTGAGGAAAAGAAAGATAGAAGTATTTTATTAAGCTCACCAAGACAGCAAGTAGTTGGGTGCTGCTGCCCATTTCAAATTGCTACTTTTTATAGACAGGATATATAAGGGCAATATATAAGGATATATAAGAGCAAAAGTATGTTGATTGGTACTCATAATCATGAGGAGATGGGGTTAGTGCCACTTCAACTCCTCCCTCATTATAGTATCATAGTGAGATGGGATTAGTGTGTATACACAAGGGTATTTCCAGACCATCTCCTGCAGGCTGGCTGCACATGTGCCAAAGTCAAAATAAGGCGTAAAAATGAGGTCACTCAGACTGACTGCACACGTAGCAGACTTTGCACAATCATTTCTTTGGTACTAACCATACTTATGGTGCAGCACCACATTAGGACCTCTGTCAGTCCTCTATCCTTACCTGCATCATCTTACTCTCAGCTGCTTATAATTTGGGAGTCAGTAATTTTGGAATCAGTCCTTTGCACCAAGGGAGGTCCTATAAACACAAACAAAACACAGTCCCTATGAGGACACACACGAGAAAATCCACTAACAGATATTTTAGCTATGAGAGATTTGGGAGCCAAGAGGTTAAACATTCCCATAGTGACCAGGGTTCCTTCCAATTCTCCTGGAACTTGTTCCAGGCATTCTGAACCCAGTCCATATGGGTATGAATATTATCAAAGTTGTCATGAACCCAAGTGCAACACTCCTGACCTATGAGAACGCATAGTCCTTCCCTCTTTTCCAGGAGGAAATCTAGAGCCAGTCTATTTTGGAAGGCCCTAGCTTTAAGTGCACGGACCTCAGTATTTAAGTCCTCCACTGAACCTATGGTTTCATTAACAAATACTTGCAAAATGCTGTTCAAAATATTCAAGAGCACCAGACTGCATCTGCATGGGACATACATGGGTAATAAGATGGGAAAAGGCACATTCAGCATCACTTACTAAAGAGGGAAGTGTGAAAGAAACTTGAATGGCTGCACACTTGATTTCCAAATGTGTGCTAGGAGTCAAGGTAAGTGTGGGCCGGAGGCCAAAAAGCACCCACTCCAACCTACCCTACTAGTACAATTTGAGGGGATCCAGTAATGAGCTTTTCTGTTACACAGGAAATAAAATCCCTGTGAAGCTATCCTAAAAAAATCCACTCATCTGCCAGGCCTCCTGTCTTAAAAAAAAAAAAATTCTCAGACCTTTTCTATTCCGAATGGTCACATTTCATTTCAGGGATAGAGTATAATCACATCTCATTTGCCATCCCATTTCCTGACCTCGTGTCCTGTTTTGTTCATAACAACAGAACTGAAGACCTGACAATGTCACGGCTCAAGCTGGAGATGAGATTGCAAAAGGTTAGTGATCTTTTTCCGATTAAAAGTGATTAAATGGAAAGATTCATTCTGCCAGCCCATGGCAGTATAATTTGTTACTATATGTTTGCCTTATTGATTGCAAAATAATAATCACATTAGTTCTGAATATCTGTCCCTATACCCACAGGGGCATCCCTTCCCCAAGGACAAAGGGATATGCACACATTTCCAGCAGTTGATCCTGTTAAAAGCATAGCTGGTATATTGGATCAGATACACATAAGTGTTGGGCTCTCCTGTTCTCCCAACCCCATGCCAAGCAGGGCATAAAGCACAAACAGAAAATGCATAGTAGATAGTAAGGTCCTAATCATCAGGTCAAATAATTTAATCTCTGTTTGTCTTAATCCAATGACAAACCATTCCAGTATCCTTGACAAGAAAATCCCATGGACAATATTGGCGTGCTATGGTCCGTGGGGTTATGAAGAGTCAGACACAACTGAATGACTAAACAACAACAGGTACTTTTTTGAGATAGGTAGTTGCCTTAGCGAATAGGGTGCTGGGCTTGGAGTCAGGAAAACCTGAGTTCAAATCTGGCCTCAGACACTTAACAGATTTGTGATTCTATGCAGTCATTTAACTTCTGTTTGCCTTAATCCACTGGAGAAGGAAATGGCCAACCACTCCAATGGGCAGCTAGGTGGCACAGTGGATAGAGTGCTGAGCCTGGAATAAGGAAGACTAATCTTCCTGAATACAAATCTGGCCTCAGACACTTACTAGCTGTGTGACCATGGGCAAGTCACTTCACCCTGTTTGCCTCAGTTTCCTATCTGCAAAATGAGCAAGAGAAAGAAGTAGCAAACCACTCCAGTATCTTCGTCAAGAAAACCCCTAATGTGGTCACAAAGAGTTGGACATGACTAAAAAATGACTGAACAAATCAGGTCAAACAAAGAAGCAGCCAAAAACCATGGTTCGGTGTTGGGCTCCTTTTTCCTCTTAACTGGGTTCAGGGGCTGATCAGGAGTTTCTTCCTCTTCTGAGCTGAGGTCAATCATGGCAGGCTTCACATGAGCGTGATGTATTCAGGTCATCTACTCAGTAACCTTGATGGCAGTATAACTAATCAGCAGAACCTGGAAAGGCCCATTCCAGGAGGGCTGGAGACTAGAAATCTTTCTGAAGCAGCAAATCCACCTGTAGTCCTCTGGCTTAAATGGACGCACTATCTCTTCCAAAGGCAGAGTCTGCATCAAGCCTTCCTCCTTCCTGTAAAACAGAACTGTGAAAGAGGACTAGAACGAAAGATCACATTCCTTACTATGCTTTCACCCCCTGTGGCCAGGCTCAGGCTCCAAGGTGCATCCTTGGATAGACTACCAAACAAAATTTCAAAGGGTGACAATCCACAATCCTGCCTGCTGCAATTTCTAAGTTGGAACAACACGAGGGGAAGTAGCTGAGGCCATACTAATTGTTTACTTTCCCAAAAAGATCTTAACTTCTCTATTTAGCTGCTTCTCCCCCTTTATGATTGTAGGTCATAGGGGGTGTATAGGCT